CGAATGCAATTTTCCTCATGAGTTTCTCCACTGCTATGAGATTTAGTAATAGTACGCAACCGATGGTATTTTTTTTCGATATTTTCGCGAAAATAAGCAAAGTCTAAACAAATGGAAACAAAATTACGGTTTATTAAAAAATAATATATGAATAAATGAACTTCATTTCTAAGTCTGCAATAACAAATAAAAACAACATACATTAGGAGGTTAAACTTATATCGTAATTTAGTCCATTAGATAGTTTCTATGAGTGCCTTTGGAATCTTCGGAGCCGTGATAGTCAAGACGCCATCATAAGACAAATGCAGAAGTCAACCCGATAGCCACTTGGCCTGGGGAATTGAAGCGTCGCAAAAGATTTTCTATGGACTTGAAGTCGTATTCTTCCTTTTACACTCGACCTTCCACCACCACTGATGGTCTTCCACTCTAACTTAATTCCCCACTCTTGAAGTCATGAACATCCAGCACAACCTGTTATATAGAATCATGAAGAGTATTGATTTTCCTGGTTTTCTTTTTCTTTTTCATTTTAATGAAATCTAAATCTGTTTGTTTTCTTGATCTAGATAATCGGTTTCGGACCTAGATCATTTCTGAAAAAGAATATCTTCAATTTTTCAGTTTTTTAATGTTATGTATAGGAAATATTTGCGATCCAAATGATTTTTAGATGGTAAAACTAACCTGTGATTCTGGTTCATCTTCGCTGAACGGCCATGAGTGGTTCTCTTGTTGCAAATACGCCTCTCTTACACGTCTGTAGCTACTCATCAGATCACTCACGGATTTGCCCTTCTCCCCACGTATCAGGATTTGGTCGATGGTGGCCTCAAAGTGCTTCGAATATCCTCGAAACAAGAATCATGAAAGAAAAGTCCCTCTCAAAGATGGGGAGAAGTGAATTCCTCTTTCATTTAGATTCTTCCGGTTCTGTTCAGTAAGGGTGGTAGCATTTTTGGTCTCCATTTTTCTCTAGCGTAAGTTTCGTGGAACGGATTAAGCTACAGCTGCTCGTTCTCTCACGGAGTGTTGTTTTTGTTGTGTCTATTGAAGGCGGCTTCTGCTGCTTTTATTGGCGCGAGTGGATGTGGTCAAGTCCACTTCGTTTGGACTCAGATATGGTATGTTGGCAACATCTTGAATTGAATTTCTTGAACTCCAATTTAACAACGTAATTAAGGTGACAGAATACGATGCAACCATGTGGTAAATACTTCAATACTACTTATGCGTGTTCTTACATATTTCAATACAAAATTTATATAAGAATATATGTACACATATTACATGTGTATATATATATGTACGACACTTCTGTAAAAGATGTATATCCATATATCGGATATATACATTACAATATACAAACATATATGCAGATACGCGTACACTTAGATTATCCTTTAGACCACATATTATAGTACGTATGTTATAAAACTCAATATAATTTACTATTTGGTATGATGTAATATGTTTTTATTTCTGCTTCAAGTATTATACAAAATCAATAGCTACCATATACACTTTTGCCTGGGTAATTTACGAAATATGTATGCATGTGTGTGTATATATATGTAGATCTTATGTACATAGATATAGTTGTGTATAATATATAATTTTTGGTCGCAATCTATGCAACATAAAAACAATCCAGTTTTTTCGATAAGTTCGCGAGGAATTCATATGTATATAAAATATGCAGTATATTTATATTATAAATATATATTTATATGCATATATGTATATGTATCAATAAAAATATAGATATGTATATACATATATTCTCAATATAACATACATATAATCATAACATAAACATACATATATATCATTTCACGATTAGCTAGTGTGTCTTGTAGCAGCGTGCACACACAGTACTATTCTAATAAATAAATCCAAATTATTCATTCATCATCAGATATCAAGCTTTATTTTTTCGCAGCATCCGTGGCGAAAATAACTAGAGGGTCACTCACGATGGCAAGTCACTGAAACAGCACCGCTGCGTGACTGAGGCTTCCCAAGCGCTTGGATATGCTTCATACTCGTCTACATCTCATTGTACCCTTAAACCATATCGCGGCTACGAAATATTTTCGTTTTAATTCACTGTATCATAAACAAAATATAAACATACGAAAATTCAAACCTTGATCAGAGTAACGAGATACGATACACATTCTCTCTCTCTCTCATTTTGTTTAACTTTATTTCTTTGCTCCTTCGAGTCAGGTGGTGTGCCATAGAAAGCCCTCTGCGTGCCAGAGTCTGGCTCGGGAGCCAAAGGTTGCCGATCCCTGGTTTAAACCATTAACCATGGAAACAGGTTACACTAGTTAGAAGTAAACCCTCTTTGCATTTGGAATGCAATTTTTTCCTCATGAGTTTCTCCATCTGCTATGAGATTTATGTAATAGTAAGCAACCGATGGTATTTTTTTCGATTATTTTCGCGAAAATAAGCAAAGTAATAAACAAATGTAAACAAATACGGTTTATTAAAAATAATACATGAATAAATGAAATTCATTTCTACAGTCTGCAAATCAACAATAAATAAACATACATTATAGTTTAACTTATATCGTAACTTTAGCTCATTAGATATTTTTCTATGCTGCCTTTGGAATCTTCGGAGCCGTGATAGTCAAGAGGCCATCAGAAGACAATGCAGAAGTCACACCCTCCATAGCCACTTTGCCTGGGAAGTTGAAGCGTCGACAAAAGCTTTTCATGGACTTGAAGTCGTCTTCTTCCTTTTCCACTCGACCTTCCACCACCACCTGATTGTCTTCCACTCTAACCTTAACGTCTCCACTCTTGAAGTCATGAACATCCAGCACAACCTGTATATAGAATCAATGAAGAGTATTTGATTTCCCTGGTTTTCTTTTTCTTTTTCATTTTAATGAATATCTAAATCTGTTTGTTTTTCTTGCATCTAGATAATCTGTTTCCGTGACCTAGATCATTTCTGAAAAAGAATATCTTCAATTTTTCAGTTTTTTAATGTTATGTATATGAATATTTGCGATCCACATAATTTTTAGATGGTAAAACTAACCTTGTGATTCTGGTCGTCTTCGCTGAAGGCCATGACTTGGTTCTCTTGCTGCAAATTGCGCTCTCTTACACGTCTGTAGCTACTCATCAGATCACTCACGGATTTGCCTTCTCCCCACGTATCAAGGATTTGGTCGATGGCTGCCTCAAAGTGCTTCCGAATATCCTCGAAAAAAGAATCATGAAAGAAAAGTCCCTTCTCAACGATGTGGAGAAGTGAATCCTCTTTGCATTTAGATTCTTCCGGTTTCTGTTCAGTAAGGGTGGTAGCATTTTTGTTCTCCATTTTTCTCTAGCGTAAGTTTCGTGGAAAGGATTAAGCTACAGCTTGCTCTGTTCTCTCACGGGGTGTTGTTTCTGTTGTGATTATGAGGAGGCGGCTTCTGCTGCTTTTATTTGGCGCGAGTTGGATGTGTGCCCAATGTCCACCTTTGTTTGGACTCAGGATTATGGTATGTTTGGCAACATCTTGAATTGAAATTTCTTGAAACTTCCAGATTTTAACAAAGTAATTAAGGTGAATGCATACGATGCAACCATGTGGTAAATACTTCAATACTAATTATGCGTCGTTATACATATTTCAATACATCATTTATATACAGAATATATGTACACATATATACATATGTGTATATATATATTTACGCACACCTGTATAAATATGTATATCCATATATGTATATATACATAAATATATACAAACATATATGCAGATACGCGTACACTTATATTATCCTTACACACATATATATATATGTACGTATGTATATATATATAAATCAATATATTTACTATTTGTGTATATATGTAATATGTTTTTATTTTCTGCTTCAAGTATTACCTACAAAATCAAAAGCTACCATGTACACTTTGCCTGGGTAATTTACGAAATATTTATGCATGTGTGTATATATATGTATATGCTTATGTACATATATATATGTGTATATATATATATATATTTTTGTGTTGCAATCTATGCAACATAAAAACAATCCATGCTTTTTCGATAAGTTCGCGAAGAATTCATATGTATATAAAATATGCAGTATATTTATATTATAAATATATATTTATATGCATATATGTATATGTATCAATAAAAATATAGATATGTATATACATATATTTTGAATATAACATACATATAATCATAACATAACATATACATATATATCATTTCAAGTGTGTCTTGTAGCAGCGTGCACACACAGTACTATTCTAATAAATAAATCCAAAATTATTCATTCATCATCGGATATCAAGCTTTCCTTTTTCGCAGTATCTGTGACGAAAATAACTAGAAAGAGTGTCACGGTGGCTAGTCGCTGCTTGACTGAGGCTTCCCCAGCGCTTGGGTATGCTTCATACTCGTCTACATCTCATTGTACCCATAAACCATATCGCGGCTACGAAACATGTTCGTTTTAATTCAGTGTATCATAGAAAATAAATATTTATAAACATACGAAAATTCAAACCTTGATCAAAGTAACGAAATGCGATACACATTCTCCCTTTCTCCCTCTTATTTTTTTTTACTTTTTTTCTTTGCTCCTTCGAGTCACGTGGTGTGCCATAGAAAGCCCTCTGCGTGCCAAGTCTGGCTCGGGAGCCAAAGGTTGCCGATCCCTGATTTAAACCGGTAAACATGGAAGCATAGGTTACAGTAGTTTGAATTGAACCCTCTTTGTATTTGGAATGCATTTTTCTGCATGAGTTTCGAAGAACTATCTGTTATGAAACTTATGCAACAGTTAGCAACCGATGTTTTTTTTCGATTATTTTCAAGAAAATAAGCAAAGTAATACACAAGTGTAAACAAATACGATTTATTATACTTCATTTCTACAGTCTGCAAATCAACAATAAATAGTTAAACATTTAGTATATTTTAACTTATATCGTAATTTTAGCTCATTAAATATTTTTCTATGCTGCCTGTGGAATCTTCGGAGCCGTGATAGTCAAGACGCCATCAGAAGACATTGCAGAAGTCACGCCCCTCATAGCCACTTTGCCTGGGAAGTTGAAGCGTCGACAAAAGCTTTTCATGGACTTGAAGTCGTCCTCTTCCTTTTCCACTCGACCTTCCACCACCACCTGATTCTCTTCCACTCTAACCTTAACGTCTCCACTCTTGAAGTCATGAACATCCAGAACCTGTATATAGAATCAATGAAGAGTATTTGTTTTCCCTTGTTTTTCTTTTCCATTTAATGAATATCTAATTAATCTGTTTGCGAGACCAAGATCATTTCTGAGAAAAAAAAAATCCTTATCTTCAATGTGATTTTTTTTTTTTTTTTTTTTTTTTTTTTAACGATTGTTTCTTCTATTCATGCATAAGATTATTAGAATTGGTGTTTTTGCGGATTCCATTGTTTTTATACTAAAACTAACCTTGTGACTCTGGTCGTCTTCGCTGAAGGCCATGACTTGGTTCTCTTGCTGCAAATTGCGCTCTCTTACACGTCTGTAGCTACCCATCAGATCATTCACGGACCTGGGCTTTCTCCCCAACAGTATCCAGGATTGGGTCCGATGGCTGCCTCAAAGTTGCTTCTGAATATCCCGAAGAAGAATCATGGAAGAAAAGGTCCCCTTCTCAAACGATGGGGAGAAGTGAAATCCCTCTTTGGGAGATTCTGGTTTCTGTTCATTAAGAGTGCTAGTATTTTTGTTCTCCATATTTCTCTAGCTTTTATCACTTTAATAAAGTAGAGTACGTCTTGTAAAAATGTAGACAAAGCTACAGCTTGCTTTATTCTCTCAAAGGGTGTTGTTTATATTGTCTAGCAGTAAAAGCTTTTTTACTATGTGTTTTTTTTATATATTCCATCATCTAAAGGGGCATTATTTATATATAGACACAAAAAGATATATGTATATATTATATATAGACACAAAAAGATATATGTATATATTATATATAGACACAAAAAGATATATATATTATATATACACGCAAACACCTATATAAAGATATATTATATGCAGATACACACACACATACACAAACATACTTTGTGTGTGTTTATAAGGGCAATGTATGTGTACATATAGTGTATACCCGGGTCTAGCTGGTTGTCCCCCCCCCCCCTGCTTCCGGTGGCCGCCGCTACAAATACTCCAAGGATGACCCCTGTCAGTCAGAGTGAGCCATGCTACCGCCAGGTCAAGTCTGATCAATGGCGTGGCTATTCTGCCGGCTGGGCTGGGCCGTGTCCGTGACCTAAGGCGACCCCAGCGCTTAACACAAGTCTTGTCGTTGGGATAAACATATTCCGTGTGCTAACTCTTATAGAATAAAGAGTGTAAAAGCACCCAAGCTCCTATCACCAATGTATAAGAGGTCAATTCATACCCTTGACATAGGGTAGTTTATATCTGTATATATCTACATATATGTTTAAAGGGTCTATATATGTGTGCACACATGTGATTGTATGTATACATATATGAATGTCTGTATACATAATCTATATATGTGCGTGAGTGTACTTATACACACACACGTATATATGTTTCCATATATTTATATACACAAACAAAAACATACACATACATATATATATATACAGTAGCTGTTTAGGCGTATTTACACACATATTAATGTATATATCATATAGATGTGTGTATATGTAATATGCATATGAGCGTGTCTGTGTCTGTGTATTAATTAAAATCTTGTATGTATATACACATGTATATATTATATATACAATATATATATAGATGTGTATGTGTGTGCGTATACATATACATATATATGTATGTATATATATATGGATGTATGTTTATTCACATATATATCTATTTTGTATATCTGCCTGTGTCCATATCATTTAATATATTTTCTGCAAAATTAATAGCTTCTGTGTATACTTTGCCTCGGAAATATACAAAAAAAAAAAACTGTAATTCCATTAATTGCTCATATAAACCTGACAACTAACCCTTTAATACGTTATCATTGTTATTTCTTAAAGGGTCACTCAGAGGGATGTAAGTTTCGTCTTGTACAAAGCGTTTGGTAGACGGTTGTCCATATTAATTAATATCATTGAAAAATAATCATGGAAACACGGGTCACAGCACTCGGAAGGAGCGAACTCTCTTGCATTGTTTTTTTTTTTCTGAAAGTTTCGAAGGACTATCTCTTATGAAAGCCATGCAACAATAACAATCGGAAAAGGAAGGCAAACGATTTTTTTTTTTGCATATTATCTAAAACAACAATAAACAATCATTTAGCACATTCATGTCTTAAGAGATGATTATAACTTAAGCTAATGAAATGTTTTCTTATGCTGCTTGTGGAATCATCTATATGGCCATCCTATGTATAGACACACAAACACACACACACTATAATATACATGTGTACAGATAATTATAAGTACAAACACACGCGCGCGCGCACATAAATATATATACATTTATTTAGTTATTTTTTTATATGTATATCATATATATGTTGGTAATTATCATAATACATATGTATGTGGTGTCATATGGATGTGGTGTATCTAACGTATATATAACTGTGTGAAAAGACAATATGTAGATTACATTTGTTCGATGTATATAATGTGTTGTGAATTATAATATACAATATTCCTATACATGTCAGGTATTTCCTGCATGGGTAACTGACAAAATCCATTGATCTATGTATTATGTGATCCTAACAACTAACCTGCAATGCTTTTAAACGTAATGTATCCTAAAAGGGTTAATCAGAGTGTCCTTTGCTGTTAATAAAGCGCTCCGCTAGACCAATATTAGTTTTTACTAGTGTTTCTAAAAAGAGTTTGAAGAAACCCTCGGTATTGCAATTGTATGCAAACAGGGTCGATATTTTATTTTTTTTTTTATAATTTCGATAGGTTCGCGAAAGTAAGCCATACACACATGTAAATAAGTATATTTTATTTTGAAAATAGCAAAAGCTTTATTCAGTTTTAACATATCCTAAAGAAAAATATATTATTACTTAAACGTACATTTAATATTAGATTACAATTTCAGATAATGGGACTATATTTGCTATGCTGCCTGTGGAAGCTTCGGAGCCGTGACAGTCAAGACGCCATCGGAAGACATTGCGGAAGTTCACGGCCTCCATGTTCACTTTGCCTGGGAAGTCTGAAACGTCGATCGAAGCTTTTCATGGACTTGAAGTCATCTTCTCCTTTTCCACTCGACCTTCCACCACCACCTGATTGTCTCCACTCTAACCTTAACTCTCCACTCTTGAAGTCATGAACATCCAGTACAACCTGTATATAGAATCAATTAAGACTATCTATTTTTCTTATGTTTCCTTTATATCTAAATAATCTGTTTCCGTGACTTAGATCATTTCTGAAAAAAATCAATATTAATAGTTTGTTAACGATTTCTCTTTCTTTTGTATATATGAATATTTGTGATCCACGTGATTTTTACATGGTAAAACTAACCTTGTGATTCTGGTCGTCTTCGCTGAAGGCCATGACTTGGTTCTCTTGCTGCAAATTGCGCTCTCTTACACGTCTGTAGCTACTCATCAGATCACTCACGGATTTACCTTCTCCCCACGTATCCAGAATTTGGTCGATGGCTGTCTCAAAGTGCTTCGAATATCCTCAAAGGAATCATGGAAGAAAAGTCCTTTCTCAACGATGGGGAAACTGAATCCTCTTTGAGAGATTCTGGTTTGTGTTCATTAAGAGTGCTAGTATTTTGTTTTCCATTTTTCTCTAGCTTTTATAACTTTAATAAGTTAGAGTACGTCTTTTGGAAATGTAGATAAAGCTACAGCTTGCTCTGTTCTCTCAAAGAGTGCTGTTTATGTTGTGTCTAGCAAGAGGCGGCTGCTAATGCTTTTATGTGGCGCGAGTTGGGTGTGCGACCCACTTTCCACCTCCATCTGGACGCGTCACGGAATACTTGGCAACAACTTCATTTCAAACCTCTTGAAACTTCTAGTTCTCAATTTAAAATTAATGCATACGATACAGTCATACGGTAAAAACACATACATGTGTATATAGAGATTATTATATACAAATACATTCACAAATGCACAAACATACTTTGTGTGTGTATAATCACAATGTATGTGTACATATAGTGTATGTTTATCTGTATCTATATATATCTACATATATGTTTAAGGGACTATATATGTGCACACATGTGATTGTGTGATTGTGTGTATATATGAATGTATACATATCTATATATGTGCGTGAGTGTACTTATACACACACACGTATATATGTTTCCATATATTTATATACACAAACAGAAACACACACACATATATATACAGGAGCGTGCTTATCACGCACATATTTTTATATATTATGTACATGTGTGTGTGTATATGTAATATACATATGTGTGTGTTTGTGTCTGTGTCTGTGTGTATATAAATGGATGTAAACATATACAAATATATATACATGTATATATTATATATATATAATAATACATAGATGTGTATGTGTGTGCGTATACTATACATATATATGGATGTATGTCTATATACCTATATATCTTCTTTGTATATCTGCCTGTGTCCATATCATTTAATATATTTTCTGCAAAATTAATAGCTTCTGTGTATACTTTGCCTCGGAAATATACAAAAAAAAAAAACTGTAATTTCCATTAATTGCTCATATAAACCTGACAACTAACCCTTTAATACGTTATCATTTGTTATTTCTTAAAGGGTCACTCAGAGGGATGTAAGTTTCCTCTTGCACAAAGCGCTTGGTAGACGATTGTTCCATTTTAATTAATATCATTGAAAAGTAATCTTAGAATCACAGGTCACAGCAATAGGAAGAAGTGAATCCTCTTTGCATTTAGTACTTTTTCTGAAGTTTCAAGGGACTATCTATAGTGAAATCCCATCGCAACAATAACAATCGGAAAAGGAAGGCAAACGATTTTTTTTTTTTTTTTCATATCTAAAACAATAATAAATAATTTTAGCATTCATAGTCACTAAGATAACTAAGATATGATTATAATTTCAGGTAATGAAATGTTTTCTTATGCTGCTTGTGGAATCATCTATATGGCCATCCTATGTATAGATACACACAAACACACACACACACTATAATATACATGTGTACAGATAAGTATAAGTACAAACACACGCGCGCGCGCATATAAATATATATATACACATTTATTTATTTTTTATTCATATGTATATGTATATATGTATGTGTATATGTATATATGTATGTGTATATGTATATATGTATGTGTATATGTATATATGTATGTGTATATGTATATATGTATGTGTATATGTATATATGTATGTGTATATGTATATAATGTATGTAATTGTAACATACATATTTCCTTATACATATCAAGTATTTCCTTTCCTGCATGGGTAAGTGACAAAAACTATCCATTGATTTATTTGTTCATGTGATCCTAACAACTAACCTGTAATGCCTTTTAAACGTACA